TATAATAAAAAGTGTAATCAATAAAGAAACACTGAAATAATACGCTGTCTTGTTTCATATTTATACACAACGATAGGCTTTTAAAGTAATTACAGTAGGTATGTTATTATACGTAATATAAGCTTCAATTTAAGGTAAAATTCAACCACAAACGCTTTGCAAAACGTTTGAAAGTGTTCTTTTAATATAGAACTAAACTGCCTTTATCGATAAACTTTGAGTTCGAAATAAAATGATTCCAAATTCTCCCATGTAAATAACTTTGCTTAGTATAATAAAAAGTGTAATCAATAAAGAAACACTGAAATAATACGTTGTCTTGTTTCATATTTTATATACGCAACGATCGGCTTTTAAAGTAATTACAGCCGAGATTACAGTATATTAAAAGCAAACAATGCATCAATATTTAAAACAAACTTACCTTCGTTAACGTCGGCACCTTTACTTCCTTCTTTTAGCAATCCTCTTAATGCCTTTATTTCATCAAAAATCCTTTGCAATTTACAAAATCTTGCAAAAATGAAATATATTTGCAAGAAATCATCAAATCAATTTCGCTGTCGTCAATCGTCATGCAGCCGTTATAATGCCAATTTTAAATTGGACCAATCAGTGTTGGCTATTCATTACAGTCCGCTATATTATGAGATCAGTGAGGATGACCACCCACCGAAACACGCACAGTGACCCACGCCCGCGATATTTGATGAACTTTAGACTTCGCTAATGCTTTCGTTTCCCCGGGTGTAAATAGCCGGGGGGAATTAGTACCCTCGCACGGCGCTTCGCACCGTCGGCTCGGGGATTATATATACATATATATATATATATATATATATATATATATATATATATATATATATATATATATATATATATATATATATATATATATATATATATATAGCGTGCGAACAGGCTCTCAAGCTGAATTGAGAGCCTGCATCGATGACTAATGAATTTGAATATCTGCGTCTCAAATCGTGACGCGAAATTCTCA